CAGAGAGAGAGAGACAGAGAGAGACAGAGTGAGACACAGAGAGAGACAGAGAGAGACACACAGAGAGAGACAGAGAGAGAGAGTGATACACAGAGAGAGACATACAGAGTGAGACACAGAGAGAGACAGAGAGAGACACACAGAGAGAGACAGAGAGAGACACACAGAGAGAGACAGAGAGAGAGTGATACACAGAGAGAGACCTACAGAGTGAGACACAGAGAGAGACAGAGAGACACACAGAGAGAGACAGAGAGAGGCAGAGAGAGACGCACAGAGAGAGACAGAGAGAGACAGAGAGGACGACTCAGAGGCGACAGGAGAGGAACCAAAGGAGAGCGCAAAGGCAGCAGCAGGAGCAGGCAGATTCAGAATCTGTATTTGTACTGGAGGAATCCGATGAGCTATGAAGCTCTTGTTCAAAGATGTTCAGCAGGGGCGGGTAAGAACGTTACAACAACAAGCAGTCAGTGCGGATTATCCTTGTCGCTACTACTACACGTTTAGTAGCTACTGCATATGTAGTAGCTACTATATATGTAGTAGCTACTATATATGTAGTAGCTACTATATATGTAGTAGCTACTATATATGTAGTAGCTACTATATATGTAGTAGCTACTATATATGTAGTAGCTACTAAGTATGTAGTAGCTACTATATATGTAGTAGTAGCTACTACTTATGTAGTAGCTACTACTACATATATATACTATATATGTAGTAGCTACTATATATGTAGTAGCCACATAAGTATGTAGTATGTAGTAGCTACTACATAAGTAGTAGCTACTACATATGTAGCTACGGGCCCCGCACTTTCAAGGGCCCCGCGCTAAACGCTTTCAAGCTATCAATTCCGGTTCAGTGATTCTGCGCTTGCTCTATTACTATAGTACTATACCGCCTTCAACTTGTATTAACGACTGGGTGTTTAAGGTTAGCGACGTGTCGTATTACCTGTGGCTGTATAGCAAATGGAAACAATACGATAATTTTATTATGCTAGTTAAAAGTTTGTGTTTTAATATGTATGCGTGCTTTTTTGTTGTTGTTAACTTAGGGCCCCTTCATAACACATGCGACAGGCCCCACACGAGCTTCATCCGGCACTGCAAGCAGTACATAAACACCATACGAGTGCAAAGTACACGAAAGGAGAACAAACCATCCGAACACATACGAAAAAAACCACTAAACCATCCCCATCCGTGGGCAGGCAAGGCCCACTGAGGAGCCGGCGCCAACAATTGCCCGAGCTCTGCCGTCCTCTCTCTATATCAACGTGTTGCCGTCCAACGAATGAGGTGCCACCGTCGAGGGTGCAACGCACAGACAAGGAACGTGTCGAGTCCACACTTCCTTTTGCTCCATCGAAGTCTCCTGCCCGAGCCAGGGAAATGCGACTCCAACCTCCACGCCCACGGGGAAGGAGGTTTACACAACATCTGTGTGTGACCCACCAACCCTCGCAGCTGCAATCGCCACCTCTGGCCATCTGTACCGGGGGGATGGGGGGGGCGGGATAGAGCGTTGCTCCTTCGCTCAAGGCGTGGGGGTTTCTCAGGGCGCTCCCGTTTCCTCGTCCCCACGTGAATAATAAACACGACGATATTACCAATCGGCTAAAAAAAAAATCTTACAATAAACACCCAAATGTAGACACAGCAGCAGGTCCGTCGTGAGTTCCTGTGCGACCCACGGTGGCTCTCCTGACGAATTAAGTTATTTAATTAGTTAAATAACAATTAATGACACTCTTCCACTCTGCCCAAGAAGAAGGTCACCGACACGTGACTGCGAGGCGCACCGACACGTGACTGCGTGGCCCACCGACACGTGACTGCGTGGCGCACCGACACGTGACTGCGTGGCGCACCGACACGTGACTGCGTGGCGCACCGACACGTGACTGCGAGGCGCACCGACACGTGACTGCGAGGCGCACCGACACGTGACTGCGTGGCGCACCGACACGTGACTGCGAGGCGCACCGACACGTGACTGCGTGGCGCACCGACACGTGACTGCGTGGCGCACCGACACGTGACTGCGAGGCGCACCGACACGTGACTGCGTGGCGCACCGACACGTGACTGCGTGGCGCACCGACACGTGACTGCGAGGCGCACCGACACGTGACTGCGAGGCGCACCGACACGTGACTGCGAGGCGCACCGACACGTGACTGCGTGGCGCACCGACACGTGACTGCGAGGCGCACCGACACGTGACTGCGAGGCGCACCGACACGTGACTGCGTGGCGCACCGACACGTGACTGCGTGGCGCACCGACACGTGACTGCGTGGCGCACCAACACGTGACTGCGTGGCGCACCAACACGTGACTGCGTGGCGCACCAACAAGACACACGCGCGAGAGGGTGGTTAAAGTAATAAATAAATTATCCGCTTGTGTGTAAAAAAACGGCGAGGGAGTGGGGAGAGGGGGGGGGAGAGCGAGCGAGCGAGGGGGGAGACGAGTTGAAAAAAATGTCGAGCTAAAAAAGTCAAAACAAAAATCGTGCTCGTCTGCCCTGGCGTGTAATGGATACTGTAGCCCTAACGCGCAGTCATTGAAACGGAGCGTGAAGACTTGGGGAGGGGAAGGGGAGGGAGATAGGAGTGGTGGGGGAGTGGAGGGGCGAGTGGAGGGGGCGAGAGAAGGGGGGGGGGGGTAAGACTTTACTTTTTAAACAACTTTTATTGCCGCCAGCAGCAACGGCACTGGATGCGATTTCGATATGAAACACACAAAGTCACCAGCAACCACAAATTAAAATAAACGCTACAAATCCACGCGCTGTGGCGCTAACAGCACCGCGCACAACACGAAAGGAGGGTAGGAGTAAGAGAGAGAGAGAGAAGGGGAGAGTTAAAACATCTTCCGGGGATGTGAATGTTGTTTAAAACGATCTTCCTCTGCATCCTCCGCACCACCGCTGATATGCAGGTTCGGGCTGGACGATTTTGGGGAAAATATCTAATTGCGATTTTTTCTGACAGATATTGCGATTTGATTTGCGATTAAATTATTGTAAGTCAAGCTTCAGTTCAATATTCACTGTGTAATAGATTTAAAACACGTGATGGAGCATTACCACGTGATACCATCAACATATATGAACTGCTCTCTATATATTCTAATGCAAGGATGAGAACTTAAAACATATGAATTTCTTCCAACATGTATTTATTAAAACATTTTAATTTAAATAGAACAATCAAACATCGAACAACTGTTAAGTTTAATTTACCAAAAAAAGTTATAATAATAACAAAATAAAACAATTCCAATAAGAAAGCAATCGGACTTTTCAATTCGCAAAATAATCGCACCCTTTGCGATTTGCTAATCGCGTTGTTTAAAAATTGCGATTAATCGATTTTGAATCGATCGAGATCGATTCGTCGTCCAGCCCGAACGCAGACGCACGGCGCACGGATCCTCCACTTCCACACTGATGCGGTCGAGACAGCAGCAGCAGGCAGCAGCAGGCAGGCGGTGTCAGGAGCGAGCAGCTGAGGCGTGCGTCCTCACTGTGTGATGTCGCCTTCGAGTTTTTTGTCGATTTCATGTGACGATGGGACGGGCGCTGTGTCGGGAATAGGGACGAGGATTTCGGACGCATTTATTTGTTTCATTATGCAAGACCTGACACACACCCCCACCCCACCCACCCAACCACCAATTGAATAAAAAAAATCCCCAATTAAGAAGCATGAACAGATGAACAGGAAGTGTTTACACACGGGCAAGTCACATTTTACTATTGATCGACAGAACAAGAGAGAGAGAAAGAGAGACGAACCCACGACCTCCTGTATACCAGGCGAGGCAGTTAACATCTCCTAGCCACAGTGGCGCCCTTAGACTTGGCATCTCCAGCCCTGTTCACGAGTATCAGCTGATCGTTTACTGAACGCTACGTGGATTATTAAATCTAAACGTATCACCGTCCGTTAAAAGTATACGTTAATATATACTGTATAAACACTATACATATACACGCGCGCTTTCAGATTCGCTTATGCGGCCGTCTGGAACGCTCTTCCTTCCGACATTAGGAAGCCACTGGAGCTACGCACTTTTAACTCATCATCATCTACATTGAGAACTCATTTCTTTAAAACAGCTCGCTGTGTTTAGTTTGTTGTCAAACCCCCCTGAGCCTCCAATGAGCACGGTTGGCCATGTACGGTGCGAAAGAAGTTCAACAAACATACGAGAGAAGGGATAAGAGGGTAGAGGAGAGATATAATGAAAAAAGGGGAAAGAAAGGACAGAGAGGAAACGGGAGCATGAGAGAGATTGGAGAGAGAGAGAGAGTCGAAGGAGAAACGGGATACATGGGAGAGAGATTGGAGAGAGAGAGTCGAAGGAGAAACGGGATAAATGGGAGAGAGATTGGAGAGAGAGAGTGGAAGGAGAAACAGGATAAATGGGAGAGAGATTGGAGAGAGAGAGTGGAAGGAGAAACAGGATAAATGGGAGAGAGATTGGAGAGAGAGAGTCGAAGGAGAAACGGGATACATGGGAGAGAGATTGGAGAGAGAGAGAGATTGGAAGGAGAAACGGGATACATGGGAGAGAGATTGGAGAGAGAGAGAGATTGGAAGGACAAACGGGATAAATGGGAGAGAGATTGGAGAGAGAGTCGAAGGAGAAACGGGATAAATGGGGGAGAGATTGGAGAGAGAAAGGGAGTCGAAGGAGAAACGGGATAAATGGGAGAGAGATTGGAGAGAAAGAGTGGAAGGAGAAACGGGATAAATGGGAGAGAGATTGGAAGGAGAAACGGGATAAATGGGAGAGAGATTGGAGAGAAAGAGTGGAAGGAGAAACGGGATAAATGGGAGAGAGATTGGAGAGAGAGAGAGAGATTGGAAGGAGAAACGGGATAAATGAGAGAGAGATTGGAGAGAGAGTCGAAGGAGAAACGGGATAAATGGGAGAGGGTAGATCAGGCGAGAGAGAGAGAGAGGTAGGGGGGAGAGAGTTTGCTCCGGCAGTACATATACTAACATTGGAACAATACAGAGAAGATTAGCATGGCCCCTGCGTAAGGATGACAAAGAAAAACAAAGAGATTGGAGAGAGAGAGGGGGAGCGAGAACGGAGACAGCGAAGCGGAGTAGAAGGCCAATAAAGCAAAGCATAAAAAAAAACCCCGAAATGATGACCGACGCCAAGTGCCGACTACACCGAGCATCTTCTTGATTCCTCTGATCGTACAAACAAGAAAAGAGAGAGGAGCGAGCGAGAGAGCCATGAGAAGGTATGAAGGGAGAGAGGAGGATGTGGAGGGGGGGGGGTGCAGGGGGGGGGGGGAGGAGGGTGGGGGGAGGGGGGTCACGGTTCAACAGAGCGGCAGAGCCATGCTGGTGGATGCCCCTCTCTGTTGGATCTCACGGCGGAGCGCGCGAGGGGCTAATTGAGAAAGTGGCAGAGGCGATGTGGGCACGAGGCTGGGGGGCTAGGGGGGCGGGGGGGGGGATGGGGGGAAAGGAGGGGGGGGGAAGGCGTTGATACTGTGAGTGTGGGTACCCTCCAGCCCCGCCCCCCTATCCCCCCTCCCCCACCGTCCCCCACTCAACACAAACCCCGCACCTGCGCTCATCACCTGGATCCACGCCCATTGGTTCGACGCGGGGTCACGTGGGGTCGCGAGGGGGCGTGGCGGACCTGTCAGTGTGACGCGCGGACGGAGCCTGGGCGGGAGGGGGGGGGAGGGTGAGTGGGGGGAGGGGGTGAGGGAGGGGAGGGTGAGTGGGGAGAGGGGGTGAGGGAGGGGAGGGTGAGTGGGGTGAGGGGAGGGTGAGTGGGGGGAGGGGGTGAGGGAGGGGAGGGTGAGTGGGGGGGAGGGGGTGAGGGAGGGGAGGGGGTGAGGGAGGGGATGGTGAGTAAGGGGAGGGAGGGTGAGTGGGGGGAGGTGAGGGAGGGGAGGGTGAGTGGGGGTGAGGGAGGGGAGGGTGAGTGGGGGGAGGGTGAGTGGGGGGAGGGGGTGAGGGAGGGGAGGGTGAGTGGGGGGAGGTGAGGGAGGGGAGGGTGAGTGGGGGGAGGGGGTGAGGGTGGGGAGGGTGAGTGGGGGGAGAGGGTGAGTGGGGGGAGAGGGTGAGTGGGGGGAGGGTGAGTGGGGGGAGAGGGTGAGTGGGGGGAGAGGGTGAGTGGGGGGAGAGGGTGAGTGGGGGGAGGGTGAGGGAGGGGAGGGTGAGTGGGGGGAGGGGGTGAGGGAGGGGAGGGTGAGTGGGGGGAGGTGAGGGAGGGGAGGGTGAGGGAGGGGAGGGGGTGAGGGAGGGGAGGGTGAGTGGGGGGAGGTGAGGGAGGGGAGGGTGAGTAGGGGGAGGGGGTTGGGGGAGGGGGGAGGGAGGGTGAGTGGGGGGATGGAGTGAGTGAGGCGAGGGTGAGGAGTGAGTGTGCGAGGAGTAGGGGAGAGGGGGAGTGGGTGGGGGCGGGAAGTAGGGGGGGTGTAGTAGGGGGGGGGTGTAGTAGGGGGGGGGTGTAGTAGGGGGGGGGTGTAGTAGGAGGGGGGGGGGGGCTGCATAGTTTCTAGAACGTGAATGAGTTGAGAATGTAACGCGGTGGTGGCTTTGACCGCTTCGTCTTCTTCCGTAGGACTGGTGTGGTAGACCCAGAGCAACAACTACAGCGTCACATCGTAGTAGACTACAGTGTCACATCGTAGTAGACTACAGTGTCACATCGTAGTAGACTACAGCGTCACATCGTAGTAGACTACAATGTCACATCGTAGTAGACTACAGCGTCACATCGTAGTAGACTACACTGTCACATAGTAGTAGACTACAATGTCACATCGTAGTAGACTACAGCGTCACATCGTAGTAGACTACAGTGTCACATCGTAGTAGACTACAATGTCACATCGTAGTAGACTACAATGTCACATCGTAGTAGACTACAGCGTCACATCGTAGTAGACTACAATGTCACATCGTAGTAGACTACAATGTCACATTGTAGTAGACTACAATGTCACATCGTAGTAGACTACAGCGTCACATCGTAGTAGACTACAATGTCACATCGTAGTAGACTACAGCGTCACATCGTAGTAGACTACAATGTCACATCGTAGTAGACTACAATGTCACATCGTAGTAGACTACAATGTCACATCGTAGTAGACTACAGTGTCACATCGTAGTAGACTACAGTGTCACATCGTAGTAGACTACAATGTCACATCGTAGTAGACTACAGTGTCACATCGTAGTAGACTACAGTGTCACATCGTAGTAGACTACAGTGTCACATCATAGTAGACTACAATGTCACATCGTAGTAGACTACAATGTCACATCGTAGTAGACTACAGTGTCACATCGTAGTAGACTACAGCGTCACATCGTAGTAGACTACAATGTCACATCGTAGTAGACTACAATGTCACATCGTAGTAGACTACAATGTCACATCGTAGTAGACTACAGTGTCACATCGTAGTAGACTACAGTGTCACATCGTAGTAGACTACAGTGTCACATCGTAGTAGACTACAGTGTCACATCGTAGTAGACTACAGTGTCACATCGTAGTAGACTACAGTGTCACATCGTAGTAGACTACAGTGTCACATCGTAGACGACTACAGTGTCACATCGTAGTAGACTACAGTGTCACAACTTAGTAGACTACAGCGTCACATCATAGTAGACTACAGTGTCACATCGTAGACGACTACAGTGTCACATCGTAGTAGACTACAGTGTCACATCGTAGTAGACTACAGTGTCACATCGTAGTAGACTACAGTGTCACATCGTAGTAGACTACAGTGTCACATCGTAGACGACTACAGTGTCACATCGTAGTAGACTACAATGTCACATCGTAGTAGACTACAGTGTCACATCGTAGTAGACTACAGTGTCACATCGTAGTAGACTACAGTGTCACATCGTAGTAGACTACAGTGTCACATCGTAGTAGACTACAGTGTCACATCGTAGTAGACTACAATGTCACATTGTAGTAGACTACAATGTCACATCTAGTAGACTACAATGTCACATCGTAGTAGACTACAATGTCACATCGTAGTAGACTACAGTGTCACATTGTAGTAGACTACAATGTCACATCGTAGTAGACTACAATGTCACATCGTAGTAGACTACAGTGTCACATCGTAGTAGACTACAATGTCACATCGTAGTAGACTACAGTGTCACATTGTAGTAGACTACAATGTCACATGGTAGTAGACTACAGTGTCACATCTTAGTAGAATACAGTGTCACATCGTAGTAGACTACAATGTCACATCGTAGTAGACTACAGTGTCACATCGTAGTAGACTACAATGTCACATCGTAGTAGACTACAGTGTCACATTGTAGTAGACTACAATGTCACATGGTAGTAGACTACAATGTCACATCGTAGTAGACTACAGTGTCACATCGTAGTAGACTACAGTGTCACATCGTAGTAGACTACAGTGTCACATCGTAGTAGACTACAATGTCACATTGTAGTAGACTACAGTGTCACATCGTAGTAGACTACAGTGTCACATCGTAGTAGACTACAATGTCACATCGTAGTAGACTACAGTGTCACATCGTAGTAGACTACAGTGTCACATCGTAGTAGACTACAGTGTCACATCGTAGTAGACTACAATGTCACATCGTAGTATACTACAGTGTCACATCGTAGTAGACTACAATGTCACATCTAGTAGACTACAATGTCACATCGTAGTAGACTACAGTGTCACATCGTAGTAGACTACAATGTCACATGGTAGTAGACTACAGTGTCACATCGTAGTAGACTACAGTGTCACATCGTAGTAGACTACAATGTCACATCTAGTAGACTACAATGTCACATCGTAGTAGACTACAATGTCACATCGTAGTAGACTACAATGTCACATCGTAGTAGACTACAATGTCACATCGTAGTAGACTACAGCGTCACATCGTAGTAGACTACAGTGTCACATCGTAGTAGACTACAGTGTCACATCGTAGTAGACTACAGTGTCACATCGTAGTAGACTACAGTGTCACATCGTAGTAGACTACAGTGTCACATCGTAGTAGACTACAATGTCATATTGTAGTAGACTACAGTGTCACATCGTAGTAGACTACAATGTCATATTGTAGTAGACTACAGCGTCACACCGTAGTAGACTACAGTGTCACATCGTAGTAGACTACAGTGTCACATCGTAGTAGACTACAGTGTCACATCGTAGTAGACTACAGTGTCACATCGTAGTAGACTACAGTGTCACATCGTAGTAGACTACAATGTCACATCGTAGTAGACTACAGTGTCACATTGTAGTAGACTACAATGTCACATCTAGTAGACTACAATGTCACATCGTAGTAGACTACAATGTCACATCGTAGTAGACTACAGTGTCACATTGTAGTAGACTACAATGTCACATGGTAGTAGAGTACAATGTCACATCGTAGTAGACTACAGTGTCACATTGTAGTAGACTACAATGTCACATGGTAGTAGACTACAGTGTCACATCGTAGTAGAATACAGTGTCACATCGTAGTAGACTACAATGTCACATCGTAGTAGACTACAATGTCACATCGTAGTAGACTACAGTGTCACATCGTAGTAGACTACAATGTCACATCGTAGTAGACTACAGTGTCACATTGTAGTAGACTACAATGTCACATGGTAGTAGACTACAATGTCACATCGTAGTAGACTACAGTGTCAAATTGTAGTAGACTACAATGTCACATGGTAGTAGACTACAATGTCACATCGTAGTAGACTACAGTATCACATTGCAGTAGACTACAATGTCACATCGTAGTAGACTACAATGTCACATTGTGGTAGACTACAATGTCACATCGTAGTAGACTACAGTGTCACATCGTAGTAGACTACAATGTCACATCGTAGTAGACTACAGTGTCACATCGTAGTAGACTACAATGTCACATCGTAGTAGACTACAGCGTCACACCGTAGTAGACTACAGTGTCACATCGTAGTAGACTACAGTGTCACATCGTAGTAGACTACAATGTCATATTGTAGTAGACTACAATGTCACATCGTAGTAGACTACAGTGTCACATC